CCTGTACCTGAGCAATTTGACAAATTAACACGTGTTCTTCACTTTTTCAATCATGACACAGAAACAATAATAAAGTGTTGGAGGGAAGGGAAAATGACTGACCTCTGACCTGATTTGAGTTTGTTGACCAATCACAACCCTGGATCAGCCACACTCTCGCGATGTCTCGTGAGACTGAGGATCTCAAATCAATCGACGGTGTTTACGTCTTTTCCAGTGCTAATTTTTCGTCTTTGTGGTAGGATTTACCTATCTTTAGTCATATACATGGTGTAAACTAGCTATTTCGGTATATACTCGTTACTTCATGATCCGGTATTTTGGACCTGTACCGAAACGATTTTTACGGTATTGGACCGGTACAGTGTACCGGTCCGCAGCCCTAATTTGTATATAAACCCAGCACTTGGACCAGTAAAGTGCAGGTAGACGTCAGAAATATCTGTTCAGCTTCAATTAGACCTGCACTAACCTGCATTTGCAGGTGCATGGTATTTTGAGCCTTGTGTTAACATTCCCTGTTGCTATAGGAATATCTGCCACATGTTCCCAGACTGCTGTCCTTGGTACCAACACTCTCAACCTGGACATCACTGCTATGTCAGAACATGTGGTGAACAAACAGGTAGGAGGGAAGCAATGAAATAGTTTCACCATTAGGATAGCAAAATAACATTTGTAGATTATAGGAACTGTACCAGAAAATATCAACAAAGGGTGTGTTGTATTAGTACACAAATTTTTGTGAAACCATGCTGAAATGTTTTCTGCTTGAACAACTTTTGTGTACTATCCAAAAAAGAAATTATAAGGTAGCAAACTGTAAATAAGCTCCAAGAAGACATGGACCCTCTTGTTACCTGATAGTGAAATAAATGTATAAATGTGAACTTTGAAAAATGGTGGTAAGATTGAGGAGTCAATTGTTTCAACATTTGCTGGATTTTGGATTGGACCATAAAACATGTTGTGTGTCTGTATAATAATTGTATGTACTAATATCTTAAGTTATAACTTAATACACATTCAAGTAAACTGCTATCTTTTTTCCTACCCCCATCAGAGGCTTATAGGTATACGCTTCCTGTATCCAGTTTATACCATCCCAGAAGTGGAGGTGACTATGGGAGGCAACACAGATGCACACGTTCTACAGAGAGGTGTGTGCTTAAATTACCTCACCACAGATGAGCATCTACTTAAAATGAAATACAGTTGTGTATCTTAAACATGCCCAAGAAGGCCACCCAGGGGACTGCAGCAGTTAAGAGGTCTTCTTGGACAGGTGGCTTGTGGCTATGGAAAAACATTGGGACCAGGAAAATGTGGTTGTTAAGTCAGTTGGACAGCTTGAAGAGGTGGCCACGTGGGCAGGTTTAACTGTACTGAATTATACTGCAAATTCAAACAACTCTCGCACATTATGTTAGCAATCTTTGTGACAGATATACTGTTACATGTATGACCAAAAACTGTGTTTGTGTTATATCCTAACTATAGTAAAGATGTCATCATGAAATTGTAAAAAAAATTACCTGTAATGTAAGTCTAGCTTGGTATTGCTGCCGTCCAACCTCACCTTTTTGCCATGTTTTTGTCCAGTTGGTCAGCTGATAGAACACTTGGGTAAGGTCCTGTTTGTGAGGACTGGCAACAACCCCCTCATTCTCACACCACAACAAGTCCAATCCAGGCAAATAGGTGAGTCCAGTATATGTAGCCTTCTGATGATTGAATAGACATGTACATGAACTACAATAAAACTTGCAGAATAACTGTCTTAAATGTGCTTGAGCTGTGGCTCTACTCAAACATAGGACCTCCATTTAACACCCTACCCAAAGGAAGTCCATAACCCAAGCTAGGCACTCATTTCCATCTGAGTGAAGTGAGGAAAGTTGTGTATAGTGTCTTACCCAGAGGCACAACGTTCCGGGGGCATTTCAGGGGATTTGAACCCAATATCTCTGGATACTGAGCCAAACACCCTAACCATTACATTCATGTACATAGATGCCATACAATTGCCGCACAACATTTGATGTCCCCGGTACCTGATAAATTATGTACTTTCATGATTGTTACTCTGATCAATTTGAAGCATGGAAGGAGAAGGTCCAGCTACAACAGAGAGCCAGGGGACCAGGCCTAGGATCACATGGAGGAATGAATACTTCTAGTCATGCAGTAGTCGGTATGCTGCAACACACACCAACTAGCAGTAGGACTGAAGCAGAGGACAACAGACATACGTCAGGTATTAGACAGTAACAACTGACCCTGTAACAAACATTAGACATCAGGATTACTGTCAGTAACTTGAAGACATTTTGTAGGACAGTCATGCATGGGTATATGTGGTACATACTTAGCTGTTTTGTGTTAGAAATAGTCATCACAAACCCTAATTAATTGTCCACAGTTGGTCTCACTGTCAAAGTCTCACTGAAAATCATGCAACAACAAAATGTTACAGTGAATGCAAATGCAACCTCAGACACTCACAGTTTGATATATACTGTAAAATAGTCAGGTGTTTAGATTTATATGTTTGTAGCATCATACTGTCTCTATGGAGTATTTATTTTTGTTAGTGAAGTAATATAAGGTGAACTTGGAGTGACACTATTATCACCATCCTTGGTGTGATACCAGACAGCTCTGGTGCCAGAAAGTATTGATCTTGTTTTGTGATACCTTTAACAGCAGAGTGTTACGGCTTGACTTAACCGTGTAGAGAATGGCCAGTAGACCATAAGTACCACTTGTATAATGGCTATCATCAACAACAGGAAGCCTGGGCCAAGCTGATCTAAATGTAGCTTGTAAAAGACAGCACATTGGAAGAACATACTGCACCTGCATGAAACCCAGATTTTTCATTGTTTTTGTCAGATGCTGGGTCAACATTCCATCAGAGTTTTGCAAGTTGCAGACAACAGTTGAATATTACAATGTATAGACAGGATGTCATCTTTAAATACGTGAATATGACCTTAAAAAAGACATCCTGCTGAAGTTCTATGCATAATAATTCAAAGGTTTTACACAAGCCCAGTACGTTCTACCTACATGTACATGTGCTGAAGAGATGTCGGTTGTAATGTTTTCCAGGTTCCTCACCAGCAGGCAATGACTGTATCATCTGTACTGAGCGAGAGAGGAACTGCCTGTTGAGTCCCTGTAACCACCTGTGCTGCTGCATGGAGTGTGCCAAGTCCCTGACAAACAGGCACCAGAACTGCCCCATGTGCCGGACACCTATTGCTGAGGTCCTGAGGGTCTTCAGTGCGTAGGGTTTGTCTCCTGTTGGCTCAATTTTCATACCTCTTAACCATTCCATTATACTAGTCTCCCATGCAGACCTTTCCGGCAGCCTGCGTTTGTTTATTGGTTTCTTTTCGGGGACGGTTGTATCAACCCAAGGCCTTTGTGAGTGCGGAATACAAGCAGACTTTGCAAGCGGCTAATACTGCTACCCCCGATACAGCGCTTCCTCTGAAAAGAAACTGCTGTGCTCATTTAAACAATCCTGGTAGAAAAGTCTGTACAGGAGGCTACCATTACACCAACCTACTTATCGGTAACTCAGTTACATATTATTTCATAACCAAGTATATACACATGTATGTTCCCATCAGGATAAGTTTGTACTAACCCAAGTAAACAGAAAACAATTTTTTCACACAACCAAGAATGCAGTGACATGTGAAATTTTGATCACTGAGACCCGCATCAGTAAAAGAACACTACATTTCCTTACATCTCTAAAATATCAAGGGCTATCCTATAGAAGTAACATGAAGGGTAAAATTGTATTTCTCCTGGCGTATAGCCCCACCTATTTCATGTTGGGCCCTTATTTCTATGATCCATGTTTAAGGGATTCCTATGCAATGATAGATGCATGAAAGTAGGGCTCTCTTGCTCAGACAATCCAACTACGGGTACTGGTCCAGGAGTGATATGTAATCCAATATATTTGAATAATTGTGTGTTTATATGTATTATATACAAATAAATACGTGTTTACATGTATGTCATCCTAATATGCATTTTACTGATGTGGATATGACCTACAAGCATGTACATATCTGTGAGATATTGTTGTTTGCATGCTTGTAATACAACTGTTTTATACTAATAAACAGTTCAACTTGTACTAACAACCTTCATTTTGTGTGTTCTTAATTCTGTCAGTGTTGATATCATCTTGACATCTGTATGTTTGGTCTATGTTTGAAGACCACACACTCAACTTCATCCAAATTAACAATAACAAAAAATGATTATGGAGCAAGTTTAAATACTGTAATTTTCAACACAAAGGATTGGACTTACCCAAATTTTTGACTGTACAACTCGTCTTTGTCAAGGAATGAGCAACCCACCGCTTCTGTGACATCACGTTTTGCAGATGACACGCGTGTCTCGGTGAGCAGTGGATTGTAAGCTGCAGAAAGTGTGTGGCGCCCCCCCGTTTTTGTTGAGGGAAGGTTGCAGTGCCCAGATGTAGATATGTGGCCTCTATCCCTTGTGCAAAAAAAGTCTGGTTCAGAGTCCAAGATTCTTACTTTATCCAATGAGACCTACACAGATGAACTTTAAGGGTAAAAAAGATTCTTCGTGAGACATGTTCATCTCTTGACTTGTATGTTTATTGCCATAAATACAGAGACTTACAGATACATACTTATCAATATACCAACAGTAATACAGGGCAAGATATACATATTTATATATAATACGGGTTTACTTGACTCGCAATGTATAAAAGCTACCGTCCCATCATAACAACAATCTTACATATTGTCACAAGAAAATTAAAAGTTACATGATCTCAGACACACAATACTACAGTAGAATTTCGGCATCTACTGACCCTATAGAATTTGCATACTTGGACCAGTTTTAACTCTGTCACAGTGACTATATCATGATATTAGATAGCACACACATACAAGCAAGTCAAGCTTAGGCCTACGTGTAGGAATTGTTATACATTCTAGTTTTTACCATTTTATAGTGGAACAAAAAGCCTACACCTGGTTGCATTCTAATTGTACAACTCGTGGAAGGGATGAAAGTTGCCACTATCATCTTTATGATCTTCTTCGTTGTAGCAAAAAATAAAGTCACTAACTCTCTATAATGCTGTCTAAGTTAGGGTTCTCTCCTATTGCAGCCAAATTATGTAGTTACAGCACAACCCTACTGCACCATAGGAAAGCTATGCCACACCTAAAGCTCCAACCTCTTATTGCCAGAAAAAGCATTACAGCAAATTTTTTTCAAGATCACATTACACTTGTTCTGATATCTTAATTGATCAAGCAAAACTAAAACAGCTGACACAGGGGGACTTTTCCTGATACTCTGTACTTTTGTTACAGGAAAGAATATTCTGGAATAAACAAACATGATATGCAAGAATGGCTTTAACATCTATTGTTACGGTACCCAATTTAATGGTCTAGAATTTGATATTTTTTGTCCCAACCATGTTTTTGAACAGAAGGCATATTAAGTTTTAAATGAAGAGATTTGTGGGTCTTTAATAATTTGTTTTCATGATTGAAAAGATAGGAGGTTCCTTCTCAAAACACTTTGGTCTGGATAATGTTTTTCATGTTACTGGCATTACAAAATGATCAAGAAAATATACAATATCGAATAATTATTGTAAATCTACGATAAGGCATATTGAAACAGAAACTGGTAAAATATATCTGTTTCTATGTCTAGAATACAATGTTGTATGGATTATAATACCAACTGACATGGAGTAAACTCTCATGATGTAATAAAAATATCATAAATTTCACATAAGTCTAACATTATGCACAGCAACATTTGATATCAATCATTTTTAGCTTTTTCCATTCATTATGAATCCCTTGTCTCAAGTAGCCGTAACACAATACCTGAAGAACAGGACTTCCTGATAAAAAAGTTAATACAACAAAACATTATACTTGCAAAATGCTATCATTAATCATACAAAAAAGTAAGATTATATTGTAAAATGTTGTAAAAAAAACGAATAAATTAAATTGGTTAACATTATTTAGTTGGTACAAAAATGGCAGTTGACCAGTACTGTTAGTGTTGTTATTTGCTATGTCACATGATAGATATGAGGCAGCTTGGGTAAGTTTTTTTTTCCTTTTTTTTGTCTCACTGTTTTGTTTTTGTATTTTTAGAACTATTTAATAGACCAGAACAAGTTGTTTAAAGACAATTTCAGTCTACAACAGTTACTTTGTAAATACATAGTATTCACACATTTTGTACTATCATGAAATGCAAATAACCACCACATCATCACAAACAAGTTCTTAAGAGGAAATTTTCTTGTTGGAGATTTGCTTCCCTCATGTAGCAGTGGTAGAACTTAGATTTATAACATAATATGATACAGCTAGTGCTCTAATTAGGATACAGGCTGATACATATGTAAGATTATAGAGCTAACTGAAGCCCAGACCGATCATCTTAAAATGCAATCTCAAGTTTAATCATACCTTACGGTATCTTATTCAATAAGGCTAGCAATAGGCTGCCATTTCTTTGGAAAAGATTGTGTAAAGTACTAGAAGAGGGTCAGTGGTTAATGAACTTCAGTAACTGGATGGGGCTCTTTTGTTGGTAGCTTTCCTTTGTCTCTTGAAAGGTTTTATGGCACTGATGGTTATATGGTTACCATTTGCCATAGGTGAAATTTTAAGGTCTCTCAAATTTATGGCACTATCCATACAGCAGTTGCCAACTGTTGCAACACTATAAACTGTATTGTGGTTGTTTTTGTCCAACCTGTGTAGCTGGGCATAGGTAAAAGCAACTGGCACATACGTATCGTAATTTAACCATTATGGTTAGATCCAATTGGCAAGAAAACTGGAATGGAAAAACAATTTACAATACTGTTGACTTTATATATTCATCCAACTTATCTACGCTTGCCATTTACATTTCCTACATGTATTCCCTAATCAACTAAGCCAAGACTCTCCCACCGACGTAATGCCAAATATACTTGGCAGGTTTTTAACTTGTGTAAATTAAGTACATTCACTCCACAAGACCCTTCTTACGCACAGGAGCACTTACTCTGCACGTATTAACTTGTTAGAAGTACGGTTTGCTAGTTTTTGACACATTCATTAAAGATGATGCTGTATGGAATGTGAACATTCTAGTCAGAAATTTGTACCATGTAGGCTTCATAGATACAGACCTTGCACACACTTATGAATGTGGAATTTGTATTTGAAGATATGGGCCTTTTACAATGACTCGTACATGTAGATATGGACCTTAGTCTAGATATCCATGAAATTTCAGTGAAATGGAGTGGTCTTATTCAGTACAGTATCTATGTTTTATAGATTTAGCACATTTTGCTCACCTGTACATACTCCTAGTACTTATCTACCTCTGACTAATTTGTTAATTTTTTGTCAACATACACGATATGTAAACAGATGTCTTAAATACTTATTGCAAGTCTTTTACATTTACTTCCAATAGATTCCCCTAGAGATGTCAAAACTCCTTCCCACTGAAATAACCTACACCATAAAGCTGCCTTCAGGCGTCCCATTCACACCCTGCAGCCCACCTCTGCTGTCTGTTTTGGACTGGTCAACCAGGGAGGGACTGGACGTCCCCGCCTGATCCTCAAGAATCGCTTGTTGCTGACCGATACTGTCCAACAGGTTTTCACTGCTTTCTGAGGAGGCCCTCTGCTTACTGGGAGTCCGTGGTTCGTGTATTTCCTCCGTGTTATTTACAGGGTGGGTCTCTGGGGACATGATGTTGTTTTCCAGTCCTGATGTGGGCTTCATGTCATTGAAGAACTGATCCCTCAGCTGCTTGGCTGAAGGAGGAGACATTGTCACAACCTGTGACTCCGCCTCATCTTCTGATGAAGACTCCTCACTGCTAGCTACACTGACCATGGTCGCCAGAAACACCCCCTCTGTGGAACCAGGTCTCTCTTCCTCTGGTCCTGGTGGTTCTGAGGACATTGAGGATCTCTTTTTATCTACTTCATCAACCCTAATGTTCTTATACTTGCTGTCGTCTGGTTCTGACTCGGATTCGCTACTGGAACTCAAGATTATTTCCTCCGTGGGTGTCTGATACAAGTCCACAGGGGGGAGTGTGAAAGGCTGGGTCAGTGCGCTGGGGGAATATCTGCTCCTCTCTGGCTTTTCCTTCTCCTCGGGGATCACCTGGTCCTCCTCTAGGGGAGTGGGAAGAACAGGTGGCGCAGGTGCAGCAGGTAGAAGGGATTTCTCTGGTTGAGAATCCAGGAAGTTCTGAAACTCCCGTGCACTCTCTTGGGCCTGCTCCTGTGAGAGATTTGATAGGCAAGAGTTGTCATTCAGTGAAATGATCAGTGGCTGTGGCTAATGGATACAATACATTGTCAATATTCCAGGTATCATTTATCTTACAATGAATTAGTTCTGGAAGATATGAAAGGATTGAGAAGGTCTATCTGCTAGCAGCTTTTAGTTCTTCTGAAAAGAAAAAATATGGAGTAAAAACTAAAATGGAGAAAGTAGATTATGCAATATTTCTGAATTGAACAGGTGAAGTTCAAGTTCTGTTTTTTGTTAAAGATGTAAACGTGTTACCTCTATCTTTTGTTCCAGTATGGACTCTTTCCCTGGTAAGATGGTGGGGACCACAGGTGGTGATAGTAAGGGTGGCTCCACAGTACCAATGTCTACATTGATGCCAGAATCTCCACTTGGTGAGGTAGATTTCTCCTCCTGGGGGTTGTCCGGAGCCCTGCTGTCCTGGGATGCGTGCGTCTGTAAAACTGCCGGAGGGGGTGGGGGCAGCAGGGCAGGGGCAACTTCTTGGTTAGGGGTGGATATGCTCAGCTCTAAACCACTGTCTGTCAACTCATCTTTTCTTCTGTCCTCTTCCTTTTCAACTGTTACATTGGTCAGAAGTTCAGAAGGAATTTTCTTGGCAATGGGAGACACAGAGGGTGGAGACACTGTAGTGGGAGGGGGAGATTCAGAAAGGGCAGGAGGAGACACTGATGGGGGAGGAGGAGACACTGATGTGGGAGGGGGAGACACTGATGGGGGAGGAGTCACAGATGGGGGAGATACTGTAGGGGGAGATACTGTAGGGGGAGACACTGTAGGGGGAGATACTGTAGGGGGAGACACTGTAGGGGGAGACACTGTAGGGGGAGAGGGAGACACTGTAGGAGGAGAGGGAGTCACTGATGGAGGAGGGGGAGCTTTCCGTTTCTTCTTTGCAGATCCTCTCTCAGGGGGAATAGGTTTGGGAGTGTCAGGGGTCATAGGGGGAGGAGGCTCAGTGGGTGGAGGAATGTACTTGGAGAAGTCTATATCTGCCAGGGAACGAGGTCTCATGTCATCAGGAAGGTTGCTTGCTACTGATTTGTTCAGGTGATCAAGAGACTTTGATTGGCCAGTAAATTTGATCTCAGGTAGGTTGGAAGGGTATGGGTTGGGGGACTTCCATGTGGCTTCTTCGGGAAATGCCCCCGGCAAGCTTGTCGAGGATAATCTACGCTCGAGTCTGGGCGTCAATGGCTTCTCCATGTCCGACTGCTGAGTGTCCTCTCTAAGGAGCTTCTCCTCTCTTCTCAGCTCCTCCTTTGCTGATTCAAATGCATCGTCTACAATTCTGTTGGCCTCGTCGACGACGGCCTTGTGCTTTCTCTCTGAAAGACCTCCATCGTCGCCGTCAACTTCTACTCCCCATACTTGTGGGAGTCTGTCTTCGGGAGAAGGTAGTGGTTCTAACGTCTCTAGAACTTCAGGTTCATGTACAGGTTGCTGCTGCTGCAGTTCCATTCGAACAGCATCTCGTTGTGTCTCTGCAGCGACAGCGGGTTCCTGCTCTACTGCGGCAGCCTGCGTCGGCTGCAGAACTTTGGCAGCGTCTTGCTGTGTCTCCGAGCTTGCAGCTGGGACAGGCTGCATTTCAATGGTGACGGGTACAGTCTTAGCCACCGGGCTGGGTCGCTTGCTAGGCTTCCGTAGCCGGAGCTGAACCTTGTAGGGCGAGGAGTAACTCAGGATGGTGAGCGCATCCTCGTACGCAATATCGGTGAAATAGACAGTGACACTGACCAGTTGGTCACCTAAGAGATAAAAAGTATATTTCAAGATGAGAATGAAATTTCCTCAATACGTATCAAATTTAAGGAATATGATGTTAACTCCAAATTCAAGCATGACCAGTTACGCTAGTTTTTCTCTGAAAAATTTGAGAATCAATACATTAAATTGGTGTGGCTAAATCTTTGTGAGTGTTTAAGGGACCCACCATCATGGATCTTGCCAGACTTCCATGCTGGTCCTCCCTGTCGGACATCCTGGATGAAGATCTTGCCGTTGTCCCCCTTCATGATGTTGAAGCCGGATGATTGGTCCTCCTCCTTCTTGTCCAGCAGCACCAGGTAGCTGTCGTCCCCGGGTACTGCCTCCTCCGTGGACACGTCCCTGGTGGTCGTGCCAACAGGTGGGGCCGCTGCAGCTTTTGTCTTCTGGGACCCATTCTTCTGTTCATCCTTCTGTAAGAGGTGAAAAATACAGTGTCATTGCATAGCAACTCAGTTGGCTGAAGCCTTCTAGAACAAAATGTTTCTTTTGGCTGGCTATCAGAATTTGTTTGAGACAAATAAATATTATTGGTACAAAGTAGCTTTTTTTTGTATACTACCCAGTAGAAGAAGAATCAATGTACAGAGTGATTGCCTCTGATGAATGGGCACAATTATAATATTTGATAAAGAATGATGACAGCTAAGTTTAGTGGAGAAACGTGCACTTTTCATGACACTGTCAATAAAAATAAAAGTTTGATGTTACAGCCTGTCTGACAGGCTGTAACATCAAACTTTTATTTTTATTAATTTCAAAAATGTGTAGGTCATTGTTGAAAATAAGGGAAAACTGTTTCATTCAATCTATCTTTTGCCTGATGAATGAGGTTTAGAAGCCATTGCAATTTGTAGCACCTTGTCAGTTATCATGTGTCACAACATATGTTTATAATTATATTATATTTATGTACTCACAGTGTGGGGATTCTCGATCACATACGCATGGCTGGGGTGGCCCCTTCCCTCCGGAAATCCTGGAGAGAACAACACAAAAGAAGTCATGAACTGACTGGATTACACGATTTCAGTTCCAACTGTACATGGATCAACTGGCATGGGGGCTTTTGAAGTTACATTTTGTTACTTTGTTCCTGGGAGAAACAGTAACAGTTACTTAGGTTTCAACTTAGGATTCTGGTTCTCGGTAACCCACAATGTTTTTGGTAACCAATGTAATTTTCCTTATTATCTCACACAATGCATAGCAGAAGCAGGGAGTAGGATTAGGATAAACGTGTATTCGGCTACTTTTAAGTTTAGAATCACATTTTTCTTGCAATACATCATAACTACATTTGTACTCTTATAATAGCAATTACTGCTAAGTTTTCTCATAGAGTGAGACATAATAAGGACATTGAAGAGCCTGTTTTGGGGAGGGTTTTAGTGTATAAATCCCTGCTGGAATGTGTGGGAATATCTATCAGTTGACACAAGAAGGAGTTTCTGGGTCATGTTGCTTCATTGGTTGGCCTAGTTTAACCTGGTATTTACTTTTCCTTTTTTGTCTTCAAATAGGTATTAGTGTACAGGCTAGATCTGTTTACACCTGACAGAACTTCCATTCGAAGAGATGATGGGAATATATTTAAGGAATGGGTGGACCTGTATGTGTGCATTCAGAACAAGGTCATCTGGCTCTATGTACCTGCATATTTGTGTATACAAGGTCACAGGAAGTACATTAGGAAAGTCTCCAACTCTCCAAAGAGGCTTTCATTATCTCCACTTTCTAGTTTTGTGAGCTGTTGTTGTTATCTCAAAATCAAATACATGTAACTGGAAAACGAACCATTGCCATGACAATATATCTCAAATGTGCAGCAAATGCATGGCCATCAATACTAGGATGCTAACATTACATGATAAAGAGCAAACAGTATTTCTCGTCTTTATAGTAACAGTAATTCAATAAGCTGTGTTGACCCTGATACATGTGCAACAGAAACACCTTTAATGAAAAAATTGTCATATGCGAGACTTGATCTTTTCATTTAACTAAATGTTAATATTGTTAAATTACAAGACATGCTGCAAGTCAAAAAATTGAGGGGTCGATTTCTCCTGTTACAGAAGATGCTCTTAGGTTGGTCATAGGTAAAAGATTATTGTTGAATCCCATTGGATGGAACAAAAAGAGGTCTTTAGTAGATGACCCTTTTCAGTGGGGGGACTTTTGCCCAATTGTGATGTCTGTTCCCACGTACTACATCTCATCCTGCCCTTTCTGTGTTTATTTTCATTGTTGCAGTGACAAGTTCTTCACATTTTTCTATTCTGGTCGAGAGGAGCACTACTGACATGCATCTATATACACAATAGTCGTGTAGAGAATATAAGACTCAATAACCATAACAACTTTCCTCTACTGCCACTGTTGGTATAGAATACAAGTCTACAAAACCAGAGTGATTGCCTGGTAGAAAGCTCTAGGTGAGAGATTTCTTTGTGTTGGGTCAAAAGTTTACTTTCAACATGTAACTACCACACACAGATGAACTTTCATGATGACTTAATCAAACTATGTTCTCAACATGGAATTTGGTTACAATGAATGAAAACCCTAGAATCCCCACACTGACTACATGTGTACATGGATTGAATCTAAAGTGAGATAATATTCCTTGCCACCCCTTGGAATTTGTAAATGGAACGGCCCTGATCAATGTTGGCAGTTACAAATTATTGTTGACACTGCAATTAGTTAATGGACATACCAAAGCACCAACATGATGATATACACTAGTTAACAACATAAAACATTGGAATGCCTCCTAAAAAACAACTACGAGGTGGTAACCCTACCTCCCTGCTGCGACATTACCTCAGAGCTGTTGAAATAATGCAAACCCCAAAAAATCAATCACTTGAAGTAAATGGACCATTCCTGGCTGATGGGCCTCTCTTTAGCCACTCATGTCAGCTGGTATGGATGTTCAAATAAGCAGCCATCAGCATTATTTGTTTTCAGTCTTCACAAGGAGTGGGCAGAGGAGCTCTGATGTTTAATGTAGGCCTAGATGGTTCCCAGGGACTCTCTGCACTTACCTTCATCTAATTATGTATACAGATTATGTTTGGACCCTAAGTTTAATGTTGTATGCAGAAGGTCACGTATCCATGATTGTGGAACGTTTATCTTAATGCACAGCATCTTCATAAAAGTCATTTTCATCTGTCTGAAGATAAAACGTATTCGCTTAACTTTGCGAGCCTACTTATCCATTACGGTTACAGAATACCAATCCCGATGCAGTCTATTTAAGTATCATGATGTGTTGTCTGGCTTGTACCCAGCCTGGGCCTTCTGGACACAAACGTACAATAAACGTCTTTTTTTCCATGAACATCTGAGCCCCCGGCTTAAGGCATAGTCCTTCTTTACTGGATTTTTGCAAATATGCTGCATGCTTTTAACTCATAATAGGCTACGTGTTCTGACTTTCTGCATTTCTTTATCTTCGTTTCATCTCACTGGAGAGGTGTTTGTCTGCACAACCCACATTTCTTACATTTCTTGTAACCAAAGGACTCTAAAATAAATAGGACTCAGTCTCAAGATTCCATGCATCGTGGATATCAAAATGCGAGGAACATTATTTTCTGGTTTATGTTCTTTAGATCACTCCGTGGTTTATGTAATCTTGCTTTAGGTTGGAGTCCTTCCAAGAGCTTTATGGTCCATTTGACCACTCTGTTACTTGCAGGGGATCATATTAGGATCAAAAGTCTGGTAAAACTGAGGTAAGGATACGCGATCTTAGAAGTAGTATGATGGAGCTGGTGGCTCTCTTGATACTTTAGGCCTGGGGAGAGTGCGCATGCATACATGATACTGTAGCATATACAGCCCATCGGATATCCAACCCCTCCACTTACACAAATGCTTTTGAGATATTGGAGAATATCTTCCAGCTATCAGGATTTGGATTTCACCATTTGTGCTCACAAACCATACTAGGAAGTGGCATGGGGCAATATAAAAAAGATGGCACCAAAATAGCAGAAGGACAAAAATTTATTGGGCAGCCAACCTAAACCGCCTCTAAGTCATTTTGCTGCATTTTTCAGGGCGAGTAATTTTGATGCGATTTCACTGTCTCTGACCCATGGGGACAAAATTTTTATCACATTTCCATATAGATTACTTCAGACATATCTAGAATGATGCATCTAAATCATGAAAGAAAAGTTTTGAAACTTTTGACATATAGAATATTTTTAGTATTGCAAAGGCTTTGCAACTCGAGTTCAAGCAATGCATATGCCACATGGAAATTTTAACCCTATGAAGATTGCATTTTATAAATTGTATCATAGATCATCATACTATTATTATTAACTAAGTACAAATTAAAAAGCTGGGATCACTTATTTGAACACCTTGGTATATGAAAGTATGCAGATTGAAAGGAAATTTTGGTTGTTTGTTTTATAATATTTGTATAGTCTTGATTGGCACCTCATTGTCAAGTATATGCTAATATGTGTATACAATGTATCCTAATTCAATATTTGTCTCAACCAAGGAGGTTAATATTTTTATTGTCCCAATATTACCACTCAGAGAAATATTTTCCTTCCCTCAATGCACCTGATTTGTTTGTAGATTTCTGGCCCTTCAAATATGCTTCATTATACATGCACATCATGCTTTGACTCTCTCACAATTATTTACGACCTCATAGCTCCACAGTACACCACACCCTACATGCACTTGTAACCTTTAGCACACTGAACTAGCTGTTCAGCTTAATATTCTTACAAATTCTTACTCTCCAAGCAGAGGTTTGGGCTTCGGCTTATTTGTGGCATGCTTTTAGGTGTTTTTATTGAGTTCTCTTTTTTGTGCTGGTATCTTTTTGTACGCCAGGGTGGCAAATAGTAAATGTCTGGCAAGTGGATACTGTTAGGCAAATGGATGCTGCCAGTGCAATTTACTGTCTTTGCAGCCACCCAAAAGATCTGCTTAGAGATTAACCAATTCTACCAATGGTAGCAGGTAGAAGGTTGATTCTATACACCCTCACAGTGTACTACTACCCATTCAAGTCATGTCCATGCAAACTTCCCACCAACCAAAATTGATGAGAGAGGATTGAAGAGAAAAGTTCTGTAGGAAACACTAATATGTGAATATATTTTGTACATTCCAGGAGGTTGGATGGTTGGTAATGCGGATACCCTGTGGATTTTCGGTGCTTTATTGTGCCTATGGACTGTTAAGTCCCCATCTGGACCAGTATAGTCCTGGGACTCAGTGATCAATGGTGGGCTTTCATCTGGACCTCTACTGTAGACACATTGTAATTACATCAGTACATTAGAATTGCCATTCGGTTCGATCCGCCGTATAATAACACTGTCGCTATGAGGGGATTTGTGCCCGGATCAATCAGATGTACCGGCGTAAACTTGTTTCATCTCCTATCAAAATCTTGCACATTTGGCGCTGGAGTTTATCAGATCCTTTCCCATTGACAGGCATATTCATCTTCACTCAACCTCTTGGTTGGAGTCCATTTTCAATAATGCGCAATCCTATTTCACAGATCTGTTCGTAATCCTTCTCCTTTAGGGACCCAAACAAATGCGCATGCATGCAGCTGTTGGTATTGCAGCATACATCAGTTGCTAGTTTTTAAAACGTGCAATGTATGAAAAGGAATTGCCGGCTTGGGCTCAAAGTATTCTCCACTTAAAGATAAGTTTGTTCAACTAAAAGGAAAGCTGGCTGTTGCAAATTTGGGTAGATTTGGCAGCTCTACTTGCAGCAATGAGTAGGTGTGGAGACTGAATGAATGATGTTTCTTAAATATCCCCACTAAAGATGATGTAGTGTGTGATTTCGTACGCTGATCACAAGGCAGGTTTTGAGAGAGAGAGAGAATTCCTTAGGCTAGAGCCATGCACTCAGAGTAATGGCAGGAAGTCAATAGAGACTCCATAAATCACCTGCACATCACTTCAAACT